CCGGCTTAGTGCACAGCCTGTGGGCTAAATTTCAACCCTCTCTCACCACCTCTGCTGGGCCCCTTGTGCAGTGCACAACTTATACACTCACATACAATAGTCTTTCCTGCTTTCCACTTTTTCGTTTGTTGAGTTTGTTTAGTATCAAGTCAGGAGTGATGCTCCATTTTATGTTTGATAAGGAGAGTCTGGGCTCTCAGCGTGTCCTTTACTTTCCGGGTCCCTGGCCTGCTGTGGGTGAGAGGGTTTCCCTAGGGATGATCCGAGGCTTCCATGTGCTCCTTGCCGGGGTCCCCACCTCTGCTGGGCAGGGATGCCTCTGGGGAGTCTTTGTCAGGCCAGGATGGGCCTGGCCTACCCTTCCCTAAGGATAAGATGGCCTTGGGGCCAAAGCCAGAAAGCGTGCAGAGGTCCCTTAGGACCCTGGAAACACCAGCCAGAGGTGAGGCCAGCTGAGAAGCCCCCTCGAATAAAATCTTTTTTTTTGGCAGGGGAGGGGCGGTTGTTCTAGATCTTTGTGATGAAAACTATGGATCCTTTCCCCAGAAAAGTGCCCAGCTGTGTACATATCCAGAAACTTACATCCAGGGACAGGGCCTTCTCAGATCCTCAAAGACAGGCTGAGCAGCTGCCTGGTGTGGATCTGGGGGAGGGAAGGGAGCCTTCTGGGCTCTGCTGGCCCTGCTGGAGGCCTCTCTGGCCCTCGGATCAATGCCTCTCTGTCTGTCACTCATTCACCTCCCGACACTGCCTCAGTTTCAACACTTGAACATTCTTGCCTCTTACCTGCGCCTTGTCTGTCAGCCCAGGTCCTGCCTGATTTTGAGCAATCCCACAGCCCTGCCCTGGTTCAACTGCCAGGGTGTTCACAGCCCCTCACCACAGCCCCTTGCCTCCCCTTTCTTTCCCCTTCCCCAGCTGCAGCTCCTCTGCATCTTCAAGGTAACGGGGAGCCCTGGGGAGAGGACCCTCCTCCCCAGGCCAGGACCAAGTGCCCCCTTAGCACTGCTTGCCCCTGCTGCTGGGTCCCTGAAGTCCAGAGGCCCAACACACAGGCTTTGGGTCTCCCTGGCATCTCATCGATGGTCACCAACGTGCACAGAGGGCAGGCTATGGGTGCTCCCAGAGTAGGGGGGCTGTGGTCACTTATGAGCCTGCTGCTGAGCTGGGGAGACAGCGTCTGGTGGGGCTTACAGGTGTATACACCCATGGGGAGTCAGCCATCCACAACTTGTGACCCCAGAGCGGAGAGAGAACTTGGAATTTTGATTCCTCAGAAGTCCTGAGACAGCCTCAGAATCTTTCTTAACACACCCCAGGAACCGCGGTGAATATTCTCTGTGCCGTCTTCCATGTGAGCATAAGCCCTGTACCTCCGTGCCTTGCATGCATACTTTGTCTTGGTTCCCCGTCGTGTGTACACACTTGCAGCTGTCCCCCCCCACCCCGCTCTGTGTTCACACTGACTGTGTGCCCCCTCCCCATGTTTACACACTTGTCCCCCTTCCTCCACTCCCTTCGTGTACCCACTGGCCTTACATGGACCCCCACCTGCTTGCAGATGCCCATCACTGACAGGAGTGGGTCTCCTTGGGTTTCCCTTGAGACTGGGCAAGGCTGGGGGTGGGGGTGTGTTTTGGCCTCAGTGATGCCAAGTATCCTATAAATTAAAAAGTTAGAGTCTGGAGTCTGCGGAAGTCCCCAAAAGCGCCAAGCTCCCCTCGCCGGCTGGGCCGCCCCTCTGGGTGTTGTGTGTACTGGACGCTGTGCTGATCAAATTTTCTCTGTGATGCTCACCCCTTGTTGTTCATTGTGCTTCTCTAGTGGAATTCTGCTTTGGGGATGGCTCGGCCTCCCCTCCCCACTCCCCCAGCAAGCGCCTGGCTCCAGCTGTAGGGCAGGCCTTCTTTCCTCTGTGCCTGCTGCCCCTGCCGGTTATCTTGTTGTTGAAGAGACCTGCCTGGGCAGAAGAGGCCAGCTGGAGGGGAGGAGAACCTTCTCACGTTCAGTCGGGCAGTGCAGGGCTGCGTGATGATGGTGGTGGCATTAGGCGTTACTTCTTCTCATCAAGAATCTATAGAGGACGGTGTATTTATACCTTCAAAAAGATGTGGGCCAGCAGTTTTCAGAAAGCGCGTTCATGCCCATGTCACTAGGTGAGTTGGCCTGTGGGCTCCTCGCTGGGAGGGATGTGGTTCTGGGGGTGCTGGCGTATGATGCGTCTGTTTACCCATAATGACGTTCGCCACTTTGAAACTCCCCAGCCAGGGCATCAGTCTGCTCTCTCCCTCTTCCCACCTCTGCAGGCTTATCGTCCCCAGAAGCAGAACCTTGAATCCTCCCAAGAGCTCCAAAAGAGCAGATGTTTTCTCCTTCTCCTTCCCATGAAGGTGGAAGTCAGATCTTAGGGAGGGAGGGAGCGATTGGGCATATTGGGGACATCCTCCAGTTCAGTGACTTGGGAGGTCACACTTCCCAACCAAGGAACACTGAGTCAACCAAACGTGGGACCTTCTGCCGTGATCCTGGGAGTACATTGAGGGCAAAGGAAGAGCTGGGAACCTTGCATTCATGTCTTGGAGCTTGTGATTGACAAGGTCTAGGGACCCAAGGCAGATAGTGTGAAAGTGTCCTATGAAATGGGACCATGGTGACCTTACACATTGGCAGCAACCTCTTAATAGAAGCAATACCTATATTCCATTTTAAAGTGAGTAAACGATGAAATGTGAAGGAAACGGACGTTTAGGTGTAGCCATGAAAGCTGCTGCTCTCCTCATGCACGGCCTGCTTCTGATCGTTCTAGCGTTATCCACCTGTGTTTCGGAGACTGTTTGGCTGCAATCAGCCTAGTGAGTGATATCAGTTTTGTCTGAATCAAGGTCTTAATTCATATTTACAAAACTGCATATTTGAAAACCCCACCCCAGCTGTGACTGGCTAAGTCAAACAATCCAGATCCCAATCCTGATGGTCTCTGCATTTCATTGTCTCAGATGCTAAGTTTCTCCTCTTAGGATGCAAATCTGGGAAGGAGGGCTCTTGGTTAGCAATCCTTTGCCTCTGCTCAGTGACGTGGATGTGCCCTCCTGGGCAAGCTGTTTCTAAAGCTTAAAAGAAAACCTGTCCTGAGAGGCTCTGTGGGGAAGGGGAAAGATCAGGGGTAGAGGATAAAACAGGGGCAAGGCCATGCTGGGCTGGACTTGTTAATTCCAAGAGTTGTTCCGTCTCGGCACCAAACTCACCTGAGTGCTTGAGTCTCTGTTCCAGTGGATGACAGCCATCATCCCATGGAATCTTCCCAATAACCTCTGGCTTAGGTACCATTTTTGCCTCTGCTTTTGAGATGGGAGAACTGAAGCCTAGAGATTAAACAGTTTACTCATGGTCATATAGCTAGCTTCCCAGGTGGCACGAATGGTAAAGAATCCACTTGCCAATGCAGGAGACATAAGAGATGCAGGTTTGACCCCTGGGTCAAGAAGATCTCTTGGAGGAGGAAATGGCAACCCACTGCAGCATTCTGGCCTGGAAAATCCCAGGACAGAAGAGCCTGGCGGGCTACAGTTCATAGGGTCGCAAAGAGTCAGATAGGACTGAAACGACTTAGTGTGCACATATGGGTACAACTAGTTCGAGGCAGGATTGGGCTTTGAATCCAGCGTCTGACCACAAGCCAGCCTGCTTGTTCCTCCCCCAGGTTGACTGCCCTGCATACGTGTACCTGCCTTCTGAAGGGCGGGGTGGGCTGCTGCTTTCTAGTCCCCAGTTGCTAGGATTCTGGATAGGGTCTTCTGTGTCTCAGGTGGACACACGAGCAGCCTTTGAGATGCACCGCCATGGGTCTCAGCCCCAACTCTGTACGGACTCTTTCTAGTGTAGGACCTCAGGCCCATCCTGCCACCTCTCAAAGTCTGATGGCAGGGATTAAACACCCTGGGTGCAGGGCCTGGCTCAGCGTGTGTGCCCATGGAGAGACGGCGACACTGCAAAGAGAACTGGGTGGGACGTGGTGGCTTCGGCATGCACATGTGCAGAACTTCAGAGCCCGTTAAATCTGAAAAACACTGCGTATGCACATTTTTGGCTTAAACAGAGTTCCATTTTACAAAGTCCATAACTCAGCTTTAATATTATTACATGCCCCAGACTGGGATTAATTCCAGGATAAGAGTTTTATTATGCTGTATAGAATTTCTCCCGTGTTCTCCTAGTGTATGGCCAGCACCTCCAGCCGCCTGGTCTCACACACCAGGACTTGGGGTGGTGGGGACACTCCGTCCCTCCCCAGCTCAGTTCTGTGGGCTTGGGGTAGAGTGGAGAGGTGAGTTGCGTTGTGCCGTCACTGGCCCAGGACTGCTGACCACGGGAGAATCGACTCCAGCATGTCCTGAGTGTCTGTGGGTCAGCTCTCAGTGTAGAGGATAGCGCCCGACGCTTTGCCAACCTCTGAGAGTGACTTGTTTGTTTCTTGGAATAATCGAGAAAGCGTTCACAGATCAGTGGTGATCTGAGGGGCTCTTGGTAGGAGGTCAGTGTCTGGAGGACCAGGGAGAGGTCTGGGTCTTCACTCTACTCCTGTGAGGGGCAACTGGCTTTATCTCCAGTGGATACTCTGATTATAGGTAGTAATGGCCTGTAGCTCTGTGTAGACAAAGAATCTGATTCTGCATCTGATTTGAGGCAGTGCTGTGATGGATTTGTAATGTCTGCTAGGGCACAAGGATGGGGGAACCATACAGATACGGCACTTATTTGCGGTTTAGGTTTTGTTCTGAGTATTTTACATCTCTGTGAAACCAACAAAAGTCTCTTTGTAGACTTGATCCCTTCACCCTTGATCATGGGTATCATAGGGACTCCCTAGGGAGTCCTCCAAACGATCCTTCCTCCTTGCATGTGTCCTGCACACACAACCCCCACCCCCGCCCCGCCCCGTCACCAGTGACCTATTTGCACAACTTCAAAACTCACAGGTCCGTCTCTGTTGTCTCTTTCAGTTGAAGAGGGGGAGGCCTCGGACTTCTCGCTGGCCTGGGATTCCTCCGTGACAGCATCAGGTAAATGCCCAGGGGTGGGTGGGAAACGTGGTGGGGTCCTGGGGGGCTGGCTCAGGAAACTCAGAAAGCCACCTAGCTGGTTATGGAAGTCATATTCTTCCCGTCACATTCCTGTCTCCAGTCCAGATTACCCTGTGCAACGTGATTTTTATATCAGTTCCATATGGTCAATAAAATCTATTACATACGGAGACTAATATGCCCTTATTCCCCTGGGGGCCATGTTCCCCTCTTGTGGGCACATTCGGTTGGTCCACCACACCCCCACTACGCAGGCTCTGAAGCTCTCTGCCATGGGCGTCGCTGCACATTCATTCCAGCCTAATTGCATAAAAGCCCCTCTAATAGGACCTTTAAACTCCAATCGAAATCAGAATTCCTTTATTTGCCTTCCTGGAAGGGGTCGCATCGTATTCTCAGGTGGGCAGACCCGAGCCCACACCTCCAGGGGGAGGTAAGAAGGAGGGTTCGGGGTTGTGGGGGGCATGGCCGTTGGAGGGTGATGGGGGTGACTCGGCCGTCAGGGGACTTGGGTTTTCCCGCTCAGTTCTGCCCTTGCCTAAGTGCCTTCTGGTGCCTCAGTTTCCCCAGCTATAAAAAGAGGTGGATGAATGAGGTTTTGTCTCCCTATAAAGTTCTAGAATCTGGAGCTGCCCATGGAGCTTGGGATTGGAGCTGGCTTGGGGTCTTTGGGAGCTCCGGAATGGAGGGCACCGCTCTCCCATTTGCTGGGCAAGTTGTCAGCCTCTGTTGACAGGAGGGCCCTTGTTCCCAGTCCAGCAGGCCCCAGACTCTCCTGCCTTGTCCCCTGTCCCGGGATCCTGACCAGCCGTCTCCAGTTCCATGGGGGAGAACCGTGAGCCTGAGAAGACCTGTGAGGGAGCCATCTCGTTCAGCCCCCTTCTCTTTTAGGTGTGGAAATTGAGGCAAGGAGGGAGGTATGCTCTGGGTCAGTCGTTCCAGAAACGAGGTGTTAGGCGTCAGGCATACCAACACTTAACACTTGAATGGTAACACATCGAATTTGTGATTTTATGGCTGTGTGTGATTTAAGGTGATTCGGAAGTCATTAAAGTGAGAAAATTGTGTTGACAAAGTTTTTAAGTAATAAGGCTTGGATTCAGGAAAAAATCATGAAGATGGTTCCCAGGTGACTGAAATCTGGGGAATGCTGGTACAGACTGAGCTGAAGGCAAGTGGGGAGCCAGTACTTGAAACCAGGTTCCTGGACTCCTGGTCCAGGGCTCTCTGCAGCGGGACCTGTGCTGCGTGGAAAGTCGGAAGGGTCCTGGTTGGGTCCTGGCTGACTCAAGTTTGGGCACTTCGGTGTCCGCAGGTGCCTGGTCCTTGGTGACAGGGGCTCCCTCCAGGGCAGGGGCCTTGTATGAAGCCAGGTTGGGGAGGTGCTCAGATTCTCAGGAGGAGAGCCCTGAGTTAGGACAGGCCTTGGGGTCCACACTGTAGGTAGGATAGGGGGAGGTTCTGTGTGACCCATGCCCTCTCTCTTTCTGTGCAGTTGAGATACATTCCCCACGGTTGGAGGAACACAGCGAGGTTGTGAAACTCCACGTCTCATCCAGGCGTCCTGACGGATGTGGGGGTGCACGTGCTCAGGCTTGCAGCCAGCTCTGATGAGGGTCCCCGCTGTGCTCCAAACCCCACACCAGAAAAGCGCCCAGCCTGGTCATGTCCATATAAGGTCCTCCCTCCCGGCTGTTCTCCCAGTGGTGCTGGCGGCGATGAGGACTGACCAGGACAGCAGCAGGATGCTGGAGGGCGCCGACTGTGGTGGGTGGGGAGATCTGTGCAGGGGGTGTCAGGGCCCGGGTGCATCTCCCGGGCTGGCCTGTAGAAGGCAGGGGTGACGCCGAGGGGCTGTGTAGGGGCTGGGGTCCACGACGCTCTGATGCTACAGGGGAACGACCAGCCTTAGGGCCTTCGGGTGCTCTTGGGAGTGGTGAAGGTCGCGCGCTTTGCAAGTTTCCAGCCAAGAGCTGAGCGCACCCTACATGCGCAGGCAGGGGGAGGTGCGCGACTCCTCGTGAGTCCCTCCGGCCCTCAGGGACTCCCTGGTGCCGGTCAGCTTTTGTCTGCTCGGAGGTGGGAAAGGGAGGGCCGAGCATCCCGGGCACTGGATAATCCATAGCCGGGCAATGGATTGTTCTGTTTCCTTTGGCCCGATTCTGATTATTTCTTTTTGACAGTGCATGCATGTGATAGATTTTCCTTCCCAGTCCTCTTGGACTCGAGCTATTAAAGTCAGCTTGTATTCCCTGAGCACAGGACTTGTGAGATGGCGCGCGTCCCGGGTGGCAGGATGAGGCCGGTGGGGGAGGCAGTCCTGGACGTGGAGCCTGGTGTTTCGTGAGCACATACTTGGTCTGTGCCAGGACACGGAGCAAACGTTTTACCCCCCAGGGTCTCACTGAGCCATCATGACAAGCCTGGGAGCTGGGTGGTGTTTCCAGCAGCAAGTCCACAGCTTCTCCGTGGGCTGGTTCGGGGCTGCCATCTGGTAGAGGATGGGGCCAAAGGCCTGGCTGAAGCTGCTTTAGAATAACGCTTCTCATTAAGCTGAGAAAATGTCACTTGGCTGCATCAGAGAATGGGGGCAGGTGCCAAAGAAGATTATGGGGGAGCAAAGCCTCCCCAAGCCACCCTTGGCACCATCACTGGGAACTGCCGTCCTCATTTGGTGGATGAGGGAAGGAGGCTTGGAATGGTGCGGTCGCAGTCCTGCCGTCCCCAGCCATGATGCTGCCGAGCAGCGACTTGAACCCAAGTCCTCCTGCCCCCAGAGCCTGGGCTGTAACCTCTGCACTGCCTGCCCCTGGGAAGTAGACAGCTGAGCAGAGACCTGAGGCCTCGTGGAGGCTTTACGGTGGTCCCTGAAGGCAGAGGGCCCAAGGGTGGCCATGGAGGGCCTTTTGGCTCATCAGACCGGAGGAACGCAGGGTGAGGTGAAGAGGGAGGCAGAGAGCATCCTACTGGGAGTGCAGAGCTGTGAACGCAGGCAGCTCCTCCTCCCCTCCGTGGGGCGCCAGCATCCCCCTGCCCGCTTTTCCTGGCTCCGGGAGCGTGATGGAGAACTGCAATAAAGAAGCAGGAGGCACACGTGACCACGTGGCCACTGCCCCCAGGAGCAGCCTGGCTTGCTCTGCTTGTGCCCTTGAGTCGGGGCCCTGGCAGTGATGGAGAGCCCTGCCTGGCAGGGAGGGGAGCAGGGTAAGCGGCTCCCAGCAGTTCTCCCTTCTGGCCAGGGTGTCACGGGAGGAGGGGGCCCACCCTTGCCTCTCTGAAGGCAAAGATGGGGCTGCTGGTGGCAGAACCTGGGGGAAGGAGACTGTGTTCAGAGCTGAGGTATGGGGGTGCCTGGTGGATGTGGGGTTTTAACTAGTTTCCCATTGCGTCCTGTTTTCCTGATCCATAAAAAAGGGGATGAAGGGACAGTGTCTTGTGTGCGTGCTAAGTCACTTCAGTCGTGTCCGACTCTGTGCAACGCTATGGACTGTAGCCTACCAGGCTCTTCTGTCCATGGGATTCTCCAGGCAAGAGTACTGGAGTGGGTTGCCATGCCCTTCTCCAGGGGATCTCCTCGACCCAGGGATTGAACCCTTGTCTCTTATGTTCCCTGCATTGGCAGGCAGCTTCTTTACCACTAGCACCACCTGGGAAGCCCCAAGCATCCAGTGGAAGGAAGTGTAGATTCTTTTCCCAAATGCACAGAGCATTGTCCATGTGATTTTGGGGGTGGGGTCACAGATTACTTGCAAGCTCTTCTTCCTACCTTGCCAGGCCATGAGTTCAAACTCCTTAGAGAAGTGTGAGAGTCCTTTGTGAAAGCCCACAAGGGTCCTAAGCTCACAGGCCCACCTGGGGCAGGCTGGTGGCACAGGTGAGCGGGCAGGGAAGTGGCGCTGTGCACTGCACCCCAGACCTTGCCACTGGGACAGCCGTACCTCGGTGCCAGCTGATTGTGGCAGGGCACTGGGGCCCAGAATCCCCACGTCATCTGAGTTTTAAAAAGAGAAGCCAGAGAGCTGGATTTTTATGTGGTGTTCTTAGATTAAAAAATTAACAACTCAAGTCTTTTTAAAGCAGCTCATATTGAGATATGAGGGTTCCAGTGTTTTCCACATCCTCATTAATACATGTAATTTTCCTTCTTTGGTGGATTCTAGATTTCCTAGATATGAAATGTGATCTCATTTTGGTCAATCGGTATATTTGAAAAAACACTGCTCAGGCCAAAATATGTCCCTCTGCCAGCTGATTTCATTCTGGCCACCATTAGAAGGTTGCCAAGTGCATCTCTACCCAGGGGCCACTTTCCAGGCCTCTCTGCGCCCCACCGCCTGCCTCCAGCTCAGCTCAGTGGGGGAGGTCCTTCCTCCCTCAGTGCTTTTCTCTCTTCCCCCAGGCCCTTTGGAATGAACCATCTGAGTGGCGGGCACCAGGATGGTAGTAATGTGGGGTTTCAGGGAAGCAGCCCAACCGTGCTCAGCTTTGCCTCCCTTCTGCTGGCCTCCAAGCCTGAGCTGGGAGACGAAGGGGCTCATCTTTGTGTAACTGCCTCACCAGAACCCCCCCGCCTCCCTGGACCAAGTTTCAGGGCAGGCTGGGCTTCCTTCCAGCATGGCTGCCCGGAACCAAGCTGGGGATGGAGCGTGAGGAGGGTCTGGGGCAGTCTGGTGATGGAAAGCAGTTCATTTGTAGACAAACACTCACTGTCAGTGCCTGGACAGGTTAGTCAGCTTTATTTCTGGCATGATGACACACACACTTGTGGTTGGAGAGAAACATTCATTATAATCGATTGTGTGTGAATGGCCCAACAGCCTGAGACCTTCCTGGTGAGGTCAGAGTTTCAGGCCTTCCTGCCCCATTGTAGGTCTCATCGTCCTGGTTAATGAAATCATCAGTCCCATGTAGGAGTCGCTTCTAGGAGCCAGTTCTCCTTCTCAGTGCCTTTCACATACAGAAACTGAGGCACACGGACG